AGGCAATCCACTCACCTCGGCCTCCCAAAGTGCTGGGATTACAGGCTAAGCCACCGAGCCTGGCCTCTTGTATCTTTCTAATTAGTCTCCCTCCCTAAAGAAAGTTCCCTACATTCTGTTCTTACTGGGTTTTGTCTAATTTACATTCTTACAGTGCCTTGCATGTGTCATTGTCTCCTTTAGAACATTCTCCATGATTATATTCATTCATTTATGTTAATTTTTTTATTCCTTTAGAAAAGACATATAGGCAGGGATCAAGGCATTCTTATTTATCCCCAGTAGCTAGCAGAGTCCTTGGTACGTAGGCATCATTAAGTATTTTGCAGAATGGGGAGGGGTAGGAGGGAAGAGACTTGTTTTGTGGAAAATCCTTAACTAACAAGAGTAAGGGGAGATTGAATTCATGGAGACAATCTTAAAAACTATATTTCCAGTAGTTAAGCTATAGAAGAGAGCTAATGCATTGGCAGTGGGATTATGTGGAAGTTGCAGGACTCTCTATCGCTCATTACATATGGAAAGTGAGATAAGAGACTGTCAGGAATGCAAATTTTTAGTTTTGGCAGCTGAGGGAATGGTGGTACCATTTCTTGAGAGGATCAGGTAAGAAGGGAAGAATAATGACTTTAGCTTTGCATCTGTTGACCTTGAAGAACCTGGTGTAGGACATCTAGATGAAGATAATCAGCAGGAGATAGAAAAATGGAAATGGAATTCAGGAGAGAGATGCAGGCTTTACCTCATCACTGAGTAAAACCAGTTAAATACTTGTAGTGATTCAGGTGTAAACTGATATGTTTAATTATCGAGGCCTTTTGTCATTGGCACAGATTTGGTAGATATTTTAATTCTTTTTAAACTGCGGGAGGTGGATGTTTTATGTGTGTGTGTGTGTATATATAGAATTTTTACATTGATGTCATTTAACATTCTGTAAATATTAACTGATAATACCTGTAAACATTAATTTGTTCATGGTAAACTAGCAAATCTTACTTTAATTGTGTTATTTTGTTGATGCTAATTTGTACCCTTTTTTCCTTCTTAAAGATAAAAACAAATCTCAGTGGAATTTATAGAACTCCATTAGACTGTAAGCTACATGAGGACTTGCTGCATGTGATTTAAATTGTTTTCCTCTTATTTTTTAGGGCCTATTCCCTGGTGGATTCCAGTCAAGTGTCTACGTTTCTGATTTCCATTCTTCTTATAGTCTATGGTAGCTTCAGGTAAGATGTTTTCAAATGGGATTGATTTCAGTTGGAGGTGGAAGAGGCCTTGCTCTAAAAGTGTTGGCACCAAATCTTACTTTATGAAGAAAAACAAGATTTTGGTAGGAATTGATTAGAACAAGATAATTCTGATATTGGTTCTTAAGTTGGCTGCTGGTAAACATCTCTTAGTTTTGCTTATGACTTCAGCATATTAATGCTAACATATAAAAACTAATTGTTTGAAATTCTGGTTCTGAAACTAACGAGTCACCTAAGAGCACTAATTACTGGGAAAGTTAAGGAGAGAGTCTTTGACCATGATTCTCAAAACTCAAAAGGAACAAAAAATTTAAAGGACAGTTTGAAGTGTGAAAAAAATTACTAAATATTAATGTAATATTTAGTAAATAAATTATAGAAAATTTCATGTTTCCTTTTCCTAACCAAAAATTAAAGTATAGTCACAAAACTTTAGTAGACTTACAAAGACCAGGGAAACCAAAGTAAAACTACCCAAAATGCCAATAAAGTTCTTTATCATGTTCTTAAACACTTTTAAATAAGTAGATTATATCCTTATGGAATTTATGTTGCATTTTCTTTTTTTTTGAGTTGGAGTCTCACTTTGTTGCCCAGACTGGAGTGCAGTGGCCACTTGTGATCACTGCAGCCTCAACCTGCTGGGCTCCGGCGATCCTTCTGCCTCAGCCTTCCAAATAGCTGGAACTACAGGTGCACACTACCACACCCAGCTAGTTTTTTGATTTATTGTAGAGATGAGGTCTTGCCAAGATGCCCGGGTGGGTCTCGAACCCACGGGCTCAGGCAATCCACTCACCTCAGCCTCCCAAAGCACGCGGGATTACAGGCTGAGCCACCGAGCCCAGCTTTGTTATATTTTCTTAATGCAAAGGCATTGGCATAGATGGAGCCATACAAAATTGCTAATGGTCGACCTTTAAACCCACAGAAACAATTTCATATGATTCAACCTATTAGTAGAGTTGTGCATGGTAGCATTATTAAGTATTTTCTATGATAACCTTGGGAATGCTGAGACTGGATCTTGGTGAGATTCTCATCCTAGCAGGCGGTCATAGGAATAGAGAGGAAAATCAAGAAGCTAGACATTCACTGCCTTCTTTCTACTATCCTTAGTTGAGAGCAACTTTAATGATTGTATTAGTTTGTGACTGATAAGTTAACAAATGAAGGGTGCTTGAGAAATTTTAAGTTGAGAACTTGAAAGGAAGTAACAGTGATAAATAGGCATAAAGATTTTCAACTATCCAGTTTTAATGCCTACAATCTAATAGCTACTCAGTAAACTTACACACTTGCAGTCTTACCTCAATACTGAATAGAACAAGTAGATTATTGTTGATAATTTCAGTATAAACTGATACAAGTTTTAATCACTGACTTGTCTATTGAGAGCCCTAGATTCATAACCACTTTTAGGAAGCCCTAATCAAACCAGGGAAACTTAGGACCTTATCAATATGAGCTTGATATTTTTTAGCTCTACCTGTTGGACAAGTATCTGCACTTTTTTTTTCTTTCGAGTATGTAATGTATTAACATTTCAAAAGACTCAACCTGTAATCCCGCGCTTTGGGAGGCTGAGGTGAGTGGATTGCCTGAGCCCGCGGGTTCCTGACCCGCCTGAGCAACTTGGCAAGACCTCATCTCTACAATAAATCAAAAATCAGCCAGGTGTGGTAGCGCGCCTGTAGTTCCAGCTATTCGGAAGGCTGAGGTGGAAGGATCGCTGGAGCCCAGCAGGTTGAGGCTGCAGTGGCTGGGAGCGGCCACTGCACTCCAGTCTGGATGGCAGACTGAGACTCCAACTCAAAACAAACAAACAAACAAACAAAATCTTTAGACTTATAATCCTAATACTACTTTCAGTAGTGCAAATTACCTTTTGCTTGGCATATTCTAATATACTGTGTACATTTTCATAATTGAAATAATTTATATTCTGATTTTTTTCACTGGACAAAAATATCTTCTACAATCATCTTCATATTAGTTTTTAGTAATTTAATATTTCTTTGTGTCACTATCTTTTTCTGTTTTGGTTGGACATGTGGATTGTTACAGTGACCATCTTTTTATGTGTTCTTATGCTTTAGGTGAATTATAGTCCTAAGGTAAATATCTAAAAATTGAAATACTTTACTAGAGAGTATGAACGGGATGTTTTATTACTACATATTGCCATATTGTTTTTCAGAAGAGTTATACTAATTTAAGACTGAGCAAGTTTTATTTATTTGTTTGTTCATTTGTTTATTTATTTGTTTGTTTATTTTTTGAGTTGGAGTCTCACTCTGTCGCCCAGGCTGGAGTGCTGTGGCACATATGCTCACAGCCACCCCAAGCGTCAACCTGCTGAATTCCAGCGTTCCTTCTGTCTCAGCCTTCCAAGTAGCTGGAACTATAGGCACGCGCTACCACATCCCACTAATTTTTGATTTGTTGTAGAGACGAGGTCTCACCAAGTTGCTTGGGCTGGTCTTGAACTGCGGACTCAGGCATTCCACTCACCTCAGCCTCCTGAAGTGCTGGGATTACAGGCTGAGCCACTGAGCCCAGCCAAGACTGAGCAAGTTTTAAACAAAATTTTATATAGTAAATGTACCCTAAAATTATATCGTAGATGGAAAGGATTTCTCTGGTGAATGTCTTTTTTCCAAATGAGGGAACTGAAGCCCAAAAAGATGATGCAACTTGACAAAGATTGCACAACTAGTTGATAACAAAGTCTGAATTGGACTAGTTCTCAAGACTTCGGGTCCAGTACCTTTTATCTTTTATACTTTACTAATGTATTATCTGCAAAAAGTAAATAATGATGCCTGTAGTTGTACATCTAAATTGAACTCATTGGATAAGTTCATGAGTGTTTTTTTTTCACATTTTAAATAATAATGTGTTTTCTATTACTTCTGTATTAAATTACCACAAAATTAATGGCTTATACAACATAAGTGTAGTATCTTACAGTTCTGAAGGTTGGAAATCAAACGCAGGTGTCCAAAGACTAAAGACCAAGGCATTGTTGGGACTGTGTTCCTTTCTAGAGGCTCTGTGGAAGGATCAGATTTTTTGATCATTCAGGGTGTTGGCAGCATTTAGCTCCTTTGGGTTATAGGAATGAAATGCTCTTTTCTTGATGGATATCAGCCGAGGGCCTTTCTCAGCTTCCAGAAGCCTCTGTTCTGTGGCTTATAGCCTCTCCTCCATTTTCAAGCCAGTAACAGTGGATCAAGTCCATCTCACAAGGGTAATCTCTTCTTCTTCCATC